AGTATAATATTTAAGATCTATATTAATGAAAATGTAGTGTGAACCAAGGTATAACTCATAGTTGGATGTCACACACTGATAGATAGTTATATTGTTGCTTACGAATGAACCTGTAGCGATAGTTCGTTCATTGTATGGAGCCTTCAGTCTGATCGAGTAGCGGCTATGCTCGCCAACGCGGAATTTTTTGGAATGCGTTTATCTGTGGCTGTTTTTCTTCTTCTTCAGCGTGTAGATTACAAGGTGAACGGGATAGAATCATAGCGGGTTACGAAATCACTACATGCGTGCACCTATACAATTCCATGCTAGGCAATTAACACATTGTATCTTTAATCTTTCGCCAGTATCTCCTTCAGCTGAGTCAAACCCCATTTCTTTGTGAGAACAGCTTACGAGAGGGGTTTCCATTCCTCAACCGTACGTGTATTGATTTTTGTAGGAACGAAAGAACCGCCCGAAGATCGTCATCTTAGGGACGGGCTGGGGGGCGCTGAACGTTTTGAGAAAAATCAACGCTGACCACTTTCAAGTTAGCATCGTGTCGCCCACCAACTATTTCTGTTTCACGCCTTTGCTACCAAGGTACAGTCACACCCAAAATCAAAACTATTTTCGCGTTTAAAATATCTTAGAATTACCTTTTGCCGCATCGTGTCACTCGCAACATTTTTTACTTATCAGAAAGTCAAGTATTCAAAGATTGTCGTATTTTTTCAGACACTGCTAGACCACTTGAAGATATGGTATTAAATTTCCAAGCAGCTCACGTTTGCAAGCACATTCAATAACGGATAGTCCAAAGGCAGACTATAAAAGGAAAACATCCTAAACCGGCTTGACACGAAAATGCCATCATCTAACTTAATTCTTTTCTTTGTTGTTTCTCTCTTGCACTCCACGTACACTCTACCATATCCGTGATGACATCACCAAATACACAGCACAAGTGCAGGTATGTTGTGCTTGCAAGCGATATGAACAATTTGGTGGTGATTTTGTATGCACTCTGTTGCTTCTATATAGTCTGGGTGTTGCAATACAGTCAGCGATCTGTCTACCTTTTGTTTTTTCTTGTTTTATGTTTCCGTTTGTAGTTTTCACTGCTGCATATGCGATTGCATAAGTGATCATATTGATTGGTGTGATTCATTTCGAGACATGTGTCAGTTGCAGTTTACATTCGCATTTCGGCAGGCCTCATGCTCCATTGTTTCGAGCGTCCTATATTAACATGAAATTTCCGCAGTGTAATTTCAAAGATATTTCATTTAAGTGTTTTTGATCGTTATGCGACAATATGCAAAGAACGAAACTACCATGATTTGAGCGCTTGGCGTCAATCAAGCAATTTGAGTACTGCCGTTGAACCCGTGCGATGTTTTTTACTTTAGCACAGTGCCTCTCGTACGCGTCTTTTGTATATCACATGTGCTACGCGCTTCTGCTCTCGCACACATCACTATAGCAAAACGTGTTCAAATAGTTCTGTTTAGTTGCACATTGTCTATATCGAAATGTCTTTCACGTGGAGTATTAGAATATACCGCTTGGCATCTCATTTCATACAGAGTTTCGAAGTGTACTCTAACCCATTCTGCTTTATTGTTTGTTGCACGGTGTGTCTGTTACAGGTGCTGTTGATACGCGCTGCATCATCGAACCCATCCGTGAGTACTGCCGCCGCTCCAACGCCAAGCACGCCATCTTCTACGAGGCCGAGTGTTTGCATATCGACGAAAAGAACAACAAGATCAAGTGCAAGCGTACACCTCAGGTACTTAGCCTCGCACAAACGTTACCTAGATATCCGTAAGCATCGTGGAAGTGCAATGGGAAAGTTCCATATTTCGCATATTTATTACTTGATATGTTTGTATACTGCAGGGAGTGTACTCGGAGAAGGGCCCATGGAATGAGTTTGAGTTGGATTACGATTACCTCGTCGTGGCCACGGGTACACAGTCCGCCACATTCGGCATTCCGGGTGTGAAGGTAGGAATTTCTTGAGAGTTTATCTATGATTAGAGATAATTGTACTGAATAGCGTCTTGAATGTGCATACATGTATGATTTAGAAATGGTCAACATACCATCTTCACCTAGTTAGGTAGGAATTTCTTGGGAGTTTATCTATAATTAGAGTTGATTGTGCTGAATAGCGTCTTGAATGTGCATACATGTATGATTTAGAAATAGTCAACATACCATCCTCTA